CCAATCTCCAGTTTCTCCACCCCGGCAGGTCTGCCAAACCCTGACCCAAATACCTTCTCATGGCCTCATTACACCACTGGGGTCTGGGGTGCATCCCTGCAACAACTCTCCCACAAACCATCAATCCACTCCATCCGGCACAGGCCACGCCCTGGTAAATCCAGCAGCCCACCCTTACTCGCCGTCTACAAGGCTCACAAGGCCTTTGTCACTGACTGTCCACACACAGCTTTCTTGGTTTCCCTCCTGCTGCAGCAACTACTCCTTACCTACCCCTTTCCTGACCCTCCTCCACCTCCACACCCTGCTGGGTCCTTGGACCCTCCCTCTCACCCCTACGGACATTATCCCCCAGATGCTACCATTCCATTCCCCAGCTCTAAATACCCTCTCCCTCTGCTCACACCCAGTGAGTACCTCCGACCCACGCTGCTTCCCCTAAGCACCACGATCTCCAGCCCTGCTTTCTACCCGGTGTCCCGGCGGCCAGCTCCACACTCCTTTACTGCCCCCAGCTTCCCACCCTGGCCTGCTCACCCATCTGCCTCCCCGCACTTCAGTACCTGGCCACTTCTTCCTGAGGCTCAAGTGAGATACCGGAAGCTGTCCTGGCCTGCCCTCTTGTACTTCCATCCCCCTCCAGTCTGTGGGTACCCGGGTCAGCTCTGATCCGCGGCCCGACCACCTCTCACCACACCCACGAGCCAGAACCCTGGCTGGAGCCACTGTCAGCTCAGCCGCCCTGTGGCACTCAACTCCTGACTGGTCTGCTCCCTGCTCGGCAGCCACAGAGATCCTTTTAAAACTAGGCAGAGCAGGTCGCTCTGCTCAAAGCCCTCCAACAGCTTTTCCTCAGGGTCAGGAAAAGCCAAAATGCCCCCCAGGGCCACACGACCTACATCTTCTCTTTTGACCCCATCCTGCCCTCTGTCCAGCCACACCACCTCCTCACGGTCTCTCAGACATCACCACCACAGCGGCTTTCCCTCAGAGGCCATCTCCTCAGGGCAGCCTTTCCTGGCCAGCTGAACGTGCAACACTTCACCCCTAGCAGCTTCTACCCCACTTCCCGAGTTTATTGTTCCATTCGTATTTACCTATATCTACACATCTGACCTATCTCTAGCACGTGCTGCCTGTCTCGTGACCAGTGTGGAAGCTCTGTGAGGTCAGGGATTTTCGTCTAAGTTCCTCCTGTTTCCCAGAGCCTTAAACTTGTGGGAAGCTCTCAGTACCTATTTTTAAGGGATAAATCAATTAATGGCCTGCGGGTCCTAAATGATCTTTATCTGACTTCACATTCTGCTCCTCGTGATCCCTCTTCCGTTTTTTATTTTCTTCACAGAATTTGTCACTGGCTGCCATTTGATGCTTCTGCTTCTTTGTCCATCTTCCACCTCCTCCCACCGTGGGAAGTCAAGGCCAAGAGCACAGGAACCAGACAGGCCCCCAGCGAACATGGGCTGCAGGCAGAGTCCCTTTCCCGCCTGCCTTCCCAGACCACAAGCCGTTCTCACCTGGGCTGCCAGAGCCCCTGTGACCGGGCTTCCTATCTCCAGGCCCTTCTTCTCACAGCACCCATGGCAGAAATTCTCTAACCCGAAGCTCAAGCAACTAGGCTGCAAGCATTCATCCTCGGCTGCCCAACTCCATTCTCTGTATTCTGACTACACCAAGCTCATGCCCAGAACGAGACACGGCCAGGCTGCTCCCTGGCTATTCTCCCTCCTCTTGAGCTGCTTCACGGAGATGTTTTTCAGGACTTGGAGGCCATCTCCCCTGAGAATCTCTGATAGGCCAAGCCCACCCCCATAAACATGGCTGGGCAGGGGTCCTTCCAGGGTGCTCACGCAGCACCCCAGACTGAACTCAAACTCTGACACTTAGGGTTTGATTGCAGACTTGCCTTAGGGAACCTTCAACACTTCAGCCAGCTGTGAACTTGGCACTGGAACGCCGACATGCTGAAACCTGCTGTACTACAAGTGGGCCTCTGCCAACATGAAGTTCAGGCTATTAACTTGGTGTCCCCTGCACAGTCCTCCGAGTTCAGATGACACAGAGCTCTCCACACCCAACTGCAGACCTTTTCCTGCAGTCCTTCCTGTCCTGTGCCCTTAGGGAGGACAGTTCTTCAAGACTATTCACTGTTTTTCTGGTTCTAATTTCTTGCCATGTGGCATTCACTTGTATTACACATTTCCTACTTGCCTTTAAAAGCACACAAATTTGCCTAACAAGATTCCCGTGGGATAAGGAGAGCTTTTATTATGTTTGTTTCTCTTATTTAATATCAACTTTGATCACATGATCTAACTTCTGTGAGAAGTTGCAAAGCTCCTGCTCTTACTGTGACCTATTCATTATTCCTCTACTAAATAAGGATTTACTCTTTTTCTAAGTATTGTCATGCACCTTTGTTTTACTTTGTGTAAAGAAATTCTAATTCCTAGGGTGCCTGGGTGGCTCTGTGGGTTAAGCATCAAACTCTTGATTTTGGCTCAGGTTATGATCTCAGAGTCATGAGATCGAGTCCTGTGTCGGGCTCGGCGCTGGGCATGGGGCCTGCTTAAGATTCTCCCGCCCCGCCCCTGCTCACGCATGCATGTGCTCTCTAAAAAAATTAAAATATAAAGAAACTGATTCCCTTTCCATGTGAGTTTCCCAAAACAAATCAGCCCTTGCCACATCTGAGGAAATTCTTATCCAACATAATGCAAAACCACAGCAACAGAAGCAGGGAGACCTGTCCGGGTGGCAGGAGAGGGAAGAAAATCTCCGAAGAAACACTCAGAAGAGGATTTTACACCAGACAGAAAACAGAACAACTGGAGAATTATTTTAAAATAAGTACATTAGGGGGCGCCTGGGTGGCTCAGTGGATTAAAGCCTCTGCCTTCGGCTCAGGTCATGATCCCAGGATCCTGGGATCGAGCCCCGCATCAGGCTCTCTGCTCGGCAGGGAGCCTGCTTCCTCCTCTCTCTCTCTCTGCCTGCCTCTCTGCCTACTTGTGATCTCTATCTGTCAAATAAAATAAATAAAATCTTAAAAAAAATAAAATAAAATAAGTACATTAGGGTCCTCGGTGATTTAAATGAAGAATCATTTTTAAACAACACAAACACATACATACAAGAAATTAACAACCCAAAATAGGCAGGAATGGAAACAGAAATCTCAGAAATAAAAACTACAAAACCTGCGACAAAAATTCAACATAAACACATGACTGTCCACAAGGAATTAGTAAACTGTAAAATAACACTGGGGAAACCAACCAGAAGTTAGCACTAGCAAAAGATAGCCAAACCATGAGAAAGCAGTTAAAGAGAAACACAGTCTGGAAAACTGTAGTGTGTAATTAACAGATATTCACCCAATAGTTGAGAGCAAAATACAGTTATTTTCAGATATACAAAGACAAAGGTAGCGACCATTCACAGACCCTCAGTGTTTCTGTTTGGTTTGTTTAATGAAAAGTGATCAAAGAGGGAGGGAGAGGAAAACCAACAGGGAATAAATATGAAAAAAGATAGATATGCTGTGGATATAACTAACTGTAGAGTATCACAATTTGAAAATGAAAACAAGGGGCGCCTGGGTGGCTCAGTGGGTTAAAGCCTCTGCCTTCAGCTCAGGTCATGATCTCAGAGTCCTGGGATCGAGCCCCACATCAGGCTCTCTGCTCTGTGGGGAGACTGCTTCCTCCTCTCTCTCTGCCAGCCTCTCTGCCTACTTGGGATCTCTGTCTGTCAAATAAATAAATAAAAATCTTAAAAAAAAAAAAAGAAAAAGAAAATGATAACAAGTCAACTTAAAACTCTCTGCCATAGTGACAGGGCAGGTGGGTCGGAAAGGCAAGCTCAAGTTCATGTCTCTCAAGTAGAGGGTGAGGGTGAACTGTGTGCTAAGCTCTCAGGCAGCAGGAGAGACAAATCAACACCCGGGCACAAATCTTCCTTTTCATTTTTCAAAGACGATCTAATTTAAACTTGGAAAACCACCTTGCCTCTTCCTCTAGAAAACCTGTCAACCCTAAGCCTTCAACACAACAGAGAATCAGTTTTTTTTAACAGTTTAAATTTAAATTTTTAAATTTTAAACAGTTTTTAAATTTTAAATTTTTAAAAGTTTAAAAATTTCACTTTGTAGGAACAAAGAAAACAGTGACGTTGGTTGTAAAATCAGGGACATCTCTCTGGGAATTAATAGGGTAAAAATCAAAATATGAATGCCAGTCAAGTCAATCAATGTACTTAAGGATGCGTGTTCACATCCTTCTTACTGGGTAATGCCACAGTAAGGCCAATTCCAGGACCATGCTTTCAGGAATCCTAGAATGATGTTCTTGCCCTTAACCTCATGTCTAGTACTAAGAGAAAAACACTTGGAGGCAAGTTCTCTCTGAAGAGCTTTTTCCTTTTTTGAACCAACACTTCAGGTAAAACTTTATACACATCAAATCATAATCCTACATCTGGAAAAGTATTAGCACTGAATTAGTGAATGTGTGTAAGCGGCCTTCTCTAACTGGTAACACCTCTTCAGCTAAAACTGCATCTGGGATACTGCCGCCATGATACAAAGCAAGACTTCTGGCTTCCAAAATGGTTGGTCATTCAGTCATTCTCTACCCTGCAATGTGAGTGTGAAGCTGGGTCTTAGGTTATTTCACTGGAACCCATTTTTGGAGCCAGAATGCAGCTTTCAGCACCCTCCAGCACACAGTAAGCACTGGGCGGGGAGGTTTTATGATGTTCACAGCCACACACGCTTCCTTCCCAGAGTTAATCCCATCAGGTGACTCCAGCACGCAGCACGGCCAAAACCACAGTCAGCCAAGAGGGTTCCCGAAGACCGTCTCACATGCAAAGCCTTCAGTTTTTGAACGCCTCGACCTCCACTGAAAACAGGAGTATTAAACCTAATCCTATGTTGATTCAATATGGAAACGACTGGAGAGTGAGTCAAGGGGAGAGGGAGAAGGGAAAAGAGTTACCGGAAGAGTAAAGAAAGCAGGATGCTTCGCTTCATCTTCATATTTGCCTTCAGTTGAACTTCCAGCCTCCATGGATTTGGACGTAGTGTTCTTACCGATACCCATCATCAAGAATAAACGAGCAGTTCAGCCTCTGGACTGCAGGGGCTGGAAGAGAAGGCTTGTGCAGGCGAGGCGCCCAGGGTCTGAGCTGGCTCTTCCGGTGCCTGGAGGGCCCGAAGCTCAGGCAGAGAGGAGCCCCACAAGCGCCACCATCTCTCAGCACCTAGAGAGAGAGAGGAAGCAGCCAAATCACCACAGGCGCGTCAAGGGCACAGGACACACATTCACTGCGTGTCCTGGAGAGAAGTCGGTTATAGTGTACGTTACATCCAAACAGGAAAAAAAGCACATCACTTAATCACACTTTTCAAGTCCCCACCATCTTCAGGGAGCCCTGCAGATTCTGAACCACCCCCTCGAGAGGAGAACCGTTGAACTGGGCCACCAGCAACACCCAAGTCCAAGGGTGAGAAGGCTACACGGGGATCTCTCTGACACACATGATGGTACAGCTCTCAGAGCCCAGCACTCTCCAGCAGAAACCACTGCAGGGATGAAAATGCCCTGTCCAACCCAATTGTCTCTACCCACAGGGCTGTTGGAGAAGCTTTAAAAAAAAAAAAAAAGAGAGAGAGAGAAAGAAAAACTTTTTTTTTTTTTTTTAAAGATTTTATTTATTCATTCAACAGAGATAACAAGCAGGCAGAGAGGTAGACAGACAGAAGGGGGGAAGCAGGCTCCCCGAGAGCAGAGAGCCCGATGCGGGGTTCGATCCCAGGACCCTGGAACCATGACCCGAGCCAAAGGCAGAGGCTTTAACCCACTGAGCCACCCAGGCAGCCCAAGAAACTCAATTTTTACTTGTATCTAATTTTAATCAATTTGAATTTAAATAGTCATATGTGACTAGGGTTGACCATACTAGACAGTGAGTGCAGTTATAGCTAATCCAGTATGACTACATGGATATCCAAGTTCTGAATTCCCTTATAGGTACCTAACTAAAGGCAGGGGAAGACACTCACAAGCATTTAAAAAAAAAAAAAAAAAAAAGGAGATGAAACCAATCTAGGATTAAATGACCACACAATGTTCTAGGAACGCCTCAAGATGACCTTTAAATGGGCTAGAAGAATGCCATACAAAACATCAAGCCAACACATTCCTTTCAATCAAAGAAACGGCATAAACCTAAGGAAGAAATCAGAAAAATAAAATAAAAAAGGAAGGGAGGTAAAATGGCAAGAGATAAGGAAGGAAGGGGAAGGAGAGCAAGATGGATCTGGAATGCTCAGAGAAACATGTGGGTGGAAGGAGAAAAGTGCAATGCTCCGGGCTAAGAGAAAAATCTAGGCAAAAGTCAAGTGTAAGAAATTACTGAAACAACTCTATGCAGCCAAGTTTCAGGGTAGAAGAAAATTAAAAACTCAATTTCAAACAAAAGTATGACTTGGACAATAAAAAAGATCCACCCAAAAATTAACAAGCATTTGGGGAATTTCGGCTTCAAAAAATGAGAGGACACAAAGGATCCCTACAAGGGTTGGCACATGGTCAATAAAACATGCCTAAGTATGCCCAAAGTTTTATTTAAAAAAACACGCATACACGAGCAGGTAGGGGTGAGAAGGGACAGAGCATTCATTAAAATGACGTCAGACTCTGCGCCAGTGAATGTGCCACTGAGGGTGAATAACCCAGCCAAGCTGTCCGGCAACTGTGAAGACACACCAACGCCAAGTTTAGAAATACAAGGAGGAAATCTGTTCGAGGAACTCTGTTAGAGACTCTTTCATTCAACAATGACTGGATGAGCCAGGGGAGAAACTGAAATACAGACAAAAAAGAAAAGAGAAGGAATTATACAAAAATTTGGGAGTTCAGTAGGAAGAACACAAAAAGAAAAAATAAAAGAAACAGTTGCCAGAACATCATGTTGCCTCAAGTAGAAGAGAATCAAGTGCACACATCAAACTGGTTAGAGGGGCTCTTCTGGTTAAATGTTCGCACACACATCACCTTATTGTATCCATGTCTGTTGAATGCAGGAGCTCTCAACCAGGAGTGGTGTTCCCTCCAGGGGACGTCTGGCAATGTCTGGAGACCCTCTCGGTCAGCAGACCAGGGGAAAGCTACTAGTATCTAACAGGAAGAGGCCAGGAGTGCTGTGAAACATCCTACAGTGCCTGGAGCAGATTCCATAATAAAGAACTACCTGGCCCCAAATGTGAATAGTACTAAGGCCGAGAAACCCTGGTTTAAATACATTTCCCTCCTCCCCAAAATGACACCCCAGTGTGCCATCTGAATCCTAAGCACAGAACAAGGGATATGTGTTCCAGTTTGGGAAGCAGGGACATGGATGTCACCAGATAGAGCAAACTCCCTAAAGGAATAAGTCTATGTGACTTACTGCAATTCTGTGACTTTTAAAATAGCTTTCCCTTTACAATAATGGGGATGAGTGGGGCATTTCTGTTTTCTGCTGCTCGTAGGGAATATGGGGACCCATTTTACTATGTAGTAAATACATAATACATAAAAGTGGGGATTTTCTGTCCTCAGAGGGGAAGTTATGGCCATTGCTTAGAAAACCCTAAAGGCTCTACCTGTAGCCCTAACAGAGATTTCACTCCGAATTAACCTTTTCTCGTGTTCTCACTTAAAGTGTTTTATGACAATTAAAAACAACACAACACAAAGAATTCCTAGCAAAGGCAAAGCTTGCAGAGAGGCAGGCAAATGATGGAATGGGTAACAAAACCTTGGCAAAACCCAACCCCCTGGAACAGAGCTCCCGAAGAGGACTAAAGACATAGAAGAGTTCTGAGGCTCTTGAGACATAAAATTCTCATCCTGAAAGACTCTACTTGGCAGTGCCACCAGCAACAAATCAGTCCATCTCATCCACGTTTGGGAACGCTACTACAAAGCTGCATCAGTGGAGAATTTTTCAGAGATTTGGGGATGTGCTTACTCATGAGTTTTTCATGTTTTCTAGCAAGTACAGAGACTCTTGTGGTTTATCTCCTGCCCTCTGCCTCTAGTGTTTACAAATCTTTATTTTTGTAAGGATATTAATCCTTTAATTCTGTTCTATTGATTACAAATATCTTAACCTAGCTTTTTGTGTGTTCATGAATTTCGTGGATGATCTTCTAGAATTATTCTTATGTTTATAATCGAATCCATCCATCTTCTACACATCATGACTTCGCTACTACCACCCATCAGCTTCCCTTGAGCTAAAACAACAGCAAAACACATACAGCAGGACTCTGATCATACCTGAAGTAGCCCAGACAGACCTGTACCGTAACTGCCAGAAGCTTAGGTTTCCCTGAAGATGGGACAAGCAAAGAGGACAGTGAACCACTGAAAGGTTTTTACAAGACTACATGCTATAGTTATAAGAAGCATCAAATGAGCCCTTGGCTCCACATGCAGCCATGGCCATCAGGGGACCAGCAGACCAAGCGGAGCTCTTAAACCCATGTTAACCTTAGGGAAAAGGATAGAGTCTTTTAAGATTTTATTTATTTATTTGAGAGAGAGAATGAAAAAGAGCACAAGCAGGGGGAACAGCAGGCAGAGGGAGAAGGAGAAGCATGCTCCTTGCAGGACTCGATCCCAGGATCCCAGGATCATGACCTGAGCTGAAGGCAGACGCTTAATGACTGAGCCACCCAGGCGCTCCAGGATAGGGCTTTTTAATGTAGAATGTATTTATTCTCCTGGGTGAATTGCATCTTCATGCTCATTTCAGACCTGATCATCCCTGCAGCGGCCAACCCTCGCCACTGTCCCGAAGACCAGGAACAAAAGGGGACAATTCCACTATGGCAAGACCACTTTCCATTAAGCAGTCTGTTTCTTGCTTTGTTTTTTTTAAAGATTTATTTGACACACAGAGAGAGAGAGAGAGAGAGAGCGTACGAGCGAGCGAGCGTACAAGAAGCAGGGGGAGTAGCAGACAGAGGGAAAGGGAGAAGCAGGCTCCCCACAGAGCAGGGGGAGCCAGATGCGGTACTCAATCCCAGGATCATGACCGGAGCCTTAGGCAGTCGTGTAACCAACTGAGCCGCTCTGGTGCCCCAAGCACTCTGTGTTTCTCCACTGAGTGTTTAACTGGCCCTCATGAGCTCTACTGGGACCTAGCCCCTGCGTTTGCGGTCTCTTACAGAGCAGAACCCTTTGGCACACCCTGAAGACAGGGGGCCAAGTGCGTACAAGAGGGGATGTGTCCAAGCAAAGCGCAAGGCAGTGATGCTCTCTCTGACCAAGGCTTCGGGGCAGAGGGCGCCAAGACTCGGAAGGAGGGGATATGCTTTACTGGGTTAAGACACAGACGGGGAAAGAAGGGGAAGAGACAGGGAACTCTGAGCACAGAAATGTATCCTCGGAAGTCCCCACGTGACAGCATTCCACAGCCAAGTCCTGGAGGGTTAGGAAGACAGCCTCAAGGCCAGAACCCACGCATCAACCTGAGATCAGAGAGCTTCATCCACTCAGGCTCAACTTGAGTGGGGAAATGCCAAGGCCCAGACAGAGAAAAAAGGTGGGGGTGGAGTTTAGGATCTGGTTTAGTGTTTGTTAAAACAAAAGGCAAAATCTCCCAGGGAATCTTACACTGGGGAAGGTCTGCATGCCCCCAGTCCATCCGTCACCTCAGAATGACAGCCAAGTCCTTTAGCAAGTGGCACCTACTGGGAAGCCTGGCCCCACTGTGCTGTCACCTCCATCTCTTGAGTCCCCAGGTGCTGGATCCTCCACCAGCTTCTCAGACTCCTGCACGAGCCCCACCTCCAAAACAAACTCCCTTTCCCTCATCCCCTTCCATCAGGGTGCTTCCCATCCATGCCTCCTCTGGCTGCCACATCACTGTGGCACACAGGAGCCACGAGGCCAGCTCTGCCCAGCCGGACCACCAGGGTGGTCAGGATGAGGGGCAGCAGCCATCACCTGACCCCCGGCTCCTGGGGCCGGACTTGGCACCTGTACTGAAGGCTCCCGCCTTTGTGGGATAAATAAATGGTTTAAAAAATAATAATAATAAAGCTACATGATACAATGTAACACTCATTCTTGCTTAATACTTTTCCTAAATTGGGTAAGGAAATCAAGAGCCAACATCAAGCCCATCTGTGACACACCAGATGCGCTGATGTCAGGGATAAGCCAGGGTGTCGACACCACCGCGGTGTTGCTTGGCTGACAAAGGAA